CTCGTTATTACTTACGACCATGGTTTATTCAAGATCCAATTATATGTAATTTGTATCTCACAATCATAACTCCTTGTGATTAATAGATTACCTAAAAATTGGATTTTCAGATTCTATTATTTAATATTATTTATTACAAAATTAATTTAAATAAATAATAGATCTTGCCAAAATCAAATGCATTAAATATATTAAAAGCGTTTACAACCTAAATCGATTGGATCTAGGACATAACACTTACAAACCTAATAACAATAAATATTTTATTGCCTTTGTTGATGATTTTAGTAGGATGATATGGGTTTATTTTGCCAAATTCAAGTCTGATGCATATCAGAATTTCAAACACTTCAAAGCTTTTGTATAAAAGCAAAGTGAACAAGCTCTAGAGATCTTGAAGACAGATCTTGGTAGAGAGTTACTTTCCTCTGAATTTGATGAATTTTGTGGATTCGAAGATAGCTTACTGCGGGTTTTACACTCAATAAAACTGTGTAGCAAAAAGAAAAAATCTCAGTCTCAATTGGGTGTGCAAAATTTTCTACTGTAAGGGAGAGTGTGTAAAGCCACTACTGCAAAAATTCTTTGTTCTAGTATTAGATTGACTTGATAAGTTGTTTGAGTCAATAAATTAATTCTAAAAATCAGGTCTTTGCTATTAGTAATGGGTCCTTATTTTTCTCCAGTAGTTTGGTTGTTTATTGGAATCTTGTTTTTCGAGCTCTGTATTTAAAGACTCTCGTCTCTTCAATAAGCGTAAGTAGTGTTTGCTCATATGCCTTTTTTTTTGTGCTTCGTGTTTTACTCGTCTCTTTTTACCTTTCTCTTTCTTACAATTGCAGAGAGAAGTCTTAATAGAGTTCTATTGTCTTGACACACTCACATGTAGGGCTGGACATGATCCGATTCGGTTCGGTTCTCGTTAGAATCGAATCGACCCGAAATTTTCGGGTATTTAGTAAGTGGAATCGTCGGGTCCAAATTTAATTACGAAATCGTTCGGGTTCGGTTCGATTCGGTCCGATTCGGTTCCATTCGGTTCCGTATTATAATTAAATTTTTTAATATATACAAAATTACGTTAATTTAATTACTGATATATTTAATATTAGCTCTTACAAAATAACGTAGTTCAATCTTATGTGTTTCACGTCTCTCTTTACTGAATTCTTCATAAATTTGATTATTAAAATCACAGAAAGAGAAAGATAGCGAGCTCAAAATAATTAAGAGAGATGTTGTAGAGCTTTAATTCGATTTTCTCCAGTAGAAACAACACTATAGTAGAATAACATATTTAGATAAAATTGAGGTCAATTTGATTGAGTCGACTTTGAACTGAATATTAGAAATAGGAAAATCATATTTTGTGGTTTGAACTAAATTAACTAGTTAACAAATTTATTTAGAAAAAATAAAATAATTTTACTTATTTAAAATAAATTAATTAAAAAAATTACGGAGATTCGGTTCTTATTCGATTTTTCGGGTCTTGGCCTAGAACCGAGAACCGAATCATACCCGTCGGTTCTTGATTCAAATACCCGTTCGGGTATTTAACTCGAGAAGAACCGTCGGGTTCAGTTCGGAAGTTTTATCCAGCCCTACTCGCATGTGACCAAAGTGGTGTTGACACCCAGGCAAGAGGGAAAAATAAGGATTTTATGATTATAGTTTTTTTTGGTAGTTGTGATATAGAGATAGGAGAAATAAAGTAGAGAGAGAAGAGAAAAGTGATTAGGGTTTTGAGTAGGTGGAGTGTAGTGGATATATATATTCATTTAATTTTATAATATAATTATTGATATTAAAAATTTAAATTATCGCCTGATTTTTTAATAAAAAACTTTACACCTTATTATTTAATTGAAAAGATAAAAATCATGTGTGGGTGTAATTTCCACTAAAATTTTTTTGAGGCAAAACTAAAGTTTTTAAATTATGTCACCAATTTAAGTACATAAAATGAAGTAAAATATTGGACCATACTTTTTCTAAAAATATTTTTAGAAAAATATAAATAACTCATGAGATATATAGTTATTATATAGAAATAGCAACAGAATATTTTGCGTTCGAGTTGTGAGGATCCAATCATTTTACTTAGAAGTTCAACATTCTATACCTTGGACCAAAAATTAAGAATAATTCTATATATCACCAATGATGCTAGAACACTAATTTATGTGGCATTATATGATATGTTTAATTAAAGGTAAAATTATATGATTCATTTAATTGAACCTGTAATTTAATTTCATTAGTGCAGCCACCTAAACTGGTTAGAGCATCTCTTGAGCCATAATTTTTATATAATCCAACAAGCTCTTTACATTGGCTCTTCATTTTTTTCCATAAGAAACGTTTATTGATTTCTCTTCATATTTTATTTAATATAAATTTTTATATATCAACCGATCAATCAATTTAATCCTGGTTTGAATAGTTTAAGAAATAGAATATTGAAATATGTGATTTATTAAATGCAATTATTGTACTTTAAGAATAGAAAATGAGTTTGATTCTTTAAATTTAAAGAGCCAAACTTACTATCTATTTTAAAAAGTTAAAATAGAAAGTCTTTTGAAATTCATTTTTAAGTATTGACTCTCCAAAATAAATATTGTTTTATATTTAGAGTGTATTTTAGTGATGCTTTTTGACTATTTATTTCGCCTCATAAAGATAGCCTTTTTTTTCATTTACCTCAAATTATAGGTCAGTTTCCTTGTTGAGAGTATAATTTATTTATTAGTTTCATAATATATTCTTATCTAATGTGCATTTATTATCAATAAATATAAATTACTCATTTTTTAATTATTATTTAATGTAAAGGTATATTAAGAAAAATATAATTTCTTGTTTGGTAGAGATTAAAAATAGATTTTAATATAAGTTAAAATAAACAATTAATTTTAACTATATATTTGATAGGATCCATAATTTTTTAACCATACATTTCATCAACTTTTATAAAAAATTTCTAAAAAATTGATTTTTATACCCATTAGAAAATGGCTCTAGTTTAATTATGAGAGTATTTGACACTCATTTTTATGAAAAAATAAATTTTAGAATAGTAGATTGATGGAGAATGTGTGAATAAAAATAAGAAATTTTTTTTGATTTACGCGTAATATTATTTTAATGAAGAATATTTGATTGAAAAGAAGAGATAGAAAAATGTATTTTGATAAAAATGAGAATCAAACGAGACATATATATATATATGAAAATGAAAACAAATAAGGCTTGTTTGAGCACACCTTTTTGGACAAAAATGTGTTTGGAATAGTGATTTTTGGTGAATGAGTTGTTAAAATATAGGAAATTTTTTGAAAAAATGAGTTTTGAACTAAAAGGGGTTCAAGCAGGGGCTAAGCAAATGATAAATACGAAAGTTTAATTGTAAAACAGCTGACTTGTCCAAGAAGTATAAAAGAACCATGTTTTAAGAAAACCCCTTGTTTTCTCTATTCTCCTCTACTTTTTTGTCGTGCCTTTTTCTTAATTCGATCCATTCTATGGATCCTCTACCGCCACCGCTACAGCCTTCAGCCGCTCCACCCATCTCCACCACCAACACGACGGCGGCGGCGCCACCTCCACTACCAACCCAAGTCAACTACCCAGACTCCTTGGATTCCTCCCCTCGCTCCCGCAACACCAACTCCTGGGACGACCCGTCTCCACCACTCCCTCAACCATCAAAGCTCCGCCTCATGTGCAGCTATGGTGGACATATAGTCCCCCGCCCACAAGACAAGTCCCTATGCTATATCGGAGGTGACACACGGATCATCGTCATCGACCGTCACACCAGCCTCACCAGCCTCCACAACCGCCTTTCCAAAGCCCTTCTTAACAACCAGCCCTTCACGTTGAAGTACCAGCTCCCGAACGAGGAGTTGGATTCTTTAATCTCTGTTGCTACTGATGAAGATCTTGAGAACATGGTTGAAGAGTACGACCGCCTCTGCAATTCGAGTGCGTTGAAACCTGGCCGACTTCGCCTGTTTTTATTTCTCAAAAGTTCAAGTATTGAGCAGCTTCTTGTTGAAACTGCGTCTACTAAATCAGATGACTGGTTTCTAAATGCATTAAATGGGAAGGATATTAGTATGACTACATCTGCAAAGGATTGCGATTTTGCAGAATCCTCTTCGGTCAATTCTCTTCTTGGCTTTGATGACGATTCTGTAGATAAAGAGGCCAATACAAGGAAATATTTGGAATCCCAAATGGATTCAGCAAAGAACGATGGAAATGGCAACGGGACTATAATTAATCACGATGTGCATTCGGTCCCGGATTCTCCAGTGCTGGAAGCCAATTCTTCCTTTGGGTCTGCTTCTAGTTCTCCATCTCTGGCGAACCTGCGGCCCATAAGGGTACGGTCGGAGGAGAATCAGAAGGTAGAAAGGTTGGGAATTGAGCAGCAGTTTCAGCGGAGCGTCGTGGTTGTGGAGGCTGGTGGAAATGTTAATTTGCCTCAGAAGCAGGAGGAAGGGAGTTTCGTGCCAATGGGCTGGGCAGCTGGAACTGTGGTATCAGGGGTTCCAGTGGCGGTTGGTGGCGGTGGGGAGTATGCAAATCGAACTTTCTCGGATGATGATAGATCTGATCATGGTGAATACAGAAGGGTACAACAAGCACAACAACAGTCACAGGTACACTTACAACAGCAGCAGACTCCTCAATTTCAGCACAAACAAGTTGGTCCTATCGATTTGCCTTCCCCAGATTCAGTTTCAAGGTACACCAATTTTGATAATAAGATCTTTAATGATAAGAATTCTATTGTACAACAGGGTTTTTGTGTTTATTTTGGATCTTTTTATATCTGTTCAATTATTTGAGTAAATGTGATGAATATGATCTGAATCAGGATTTTTTTGGTGTAAATTGTAATTGGTACAGTGAAGGAAGTGTAAACAATCCATTATCTAGGCAGAGACAAACTATTTATCAAGAACCAATGATGCAAATTCAGTCTGGTAACTATAGAATTGTTTCTGCTAATCAAGTTGATCCGAAGATTGGGGATCAAAACCATAGCAGGGTTCAAATGCATCCGCAAGTTCCGGAATCTGGTTATGTATTATCAAGCCAGTTTGACCAAACTCATTCTCAATTACCTCAAATGCAACATTTTGTTCATGCTGGTACTCAGTATATCCCTGCCGGAGCAATGCCAATGCCATCGTATTACCCTATGTATCCTTCCCAGCAACAGCAGCCCCACCATCCTGTACTTGAGCAGCAGTACCCGTTCTACTTTGTGCCGGGTCAACAGGCCCAGGGTTATCATGTGCCGATGCAGCAAGTGAATTATAGTGAATCTATGTCAGCCACTTCTACCCATCCCCAAATGCCTCCTCCTGGATCAATGGCCCCTTCTTCGGCTCACAACCAGGGAAGAAATGCTTTCGCATCCGAATCTGAAATTGCTGGTGGTGTGCAGAGAACAGCAGCTCAGCAGTTAGTCCAGGATCCTTCCAGCCAGCAACAGGGACAATATACTGGTTTCACTCAAATTCATTACCCTTCTCAGTCGATGGCTCCTCCTTCGGCTGCCAATTCTAATTATGCCTATGAATTTACTGACCCTTCACGTTCCCAAATATACTACACTCAGCCTCTGCCACCGCAGGTGGCTGCTCAGTACCAGTCCATGGCATCCACCCCGGCTGGGACGTTACCTGAAGTGTCTACACAGATGTCCATGCTGCATCCCACAGGGAACAAAGCGTCAAGGTAGTACTCTGCAGCCACAAAGGGTGAGTCGGGCATGGATACACAATCTTTCTGTAATGGCTTTGTTTTGCCTTTGAAGTTTATAATACACTGTTTGTCCTGTTACTCTTAGCAGTTGTGAAATGTAATTGTGATAGGTAATTGATAAACTCTGGTCTTCTCTCTTCTTCTCGTGTGTATGTGTCGTATTTCTGTTGTACTTGCAAGTAAAAATGAATGTTGTTGGATGTCACACAGTAAAAGCACAACCTCGCATATTACATGGCTGGTTTACAGATATCTGTTATTGGCTTTTCCCTATTTATTTTTGGATATTTTGTGAATGATGCACTTCTTTTCTGATGAAATTGATATGATAGAAGGTACCCCTCATTAAAATCTCTGCTTCTACCAAACTTCATGTATGCGTAAGAACAGCAATTATGCAATCGGATCATCTGTGAGATATAGTTACCGAGATTGATATGTGAAGCTTCAAGTTTAAGGGACCGTTGAGGTTCTTATAATTGAAGTTTTCTTTGTGAATTGTTAAGATTGCATATATCTTTTATCAACATCCATTTACTACTTTATCAAATATATTTTTGATTTAGATACAGTGTTCTGTCTTAGTGCAATTAGGTTCCTTTAGCATGATTCTTCATGCAGCACAGTGTATATGTAATTGATACTTGAGTATGGAATCTTCTATCAATCACTAACTTAGACTTCTGTGTACACGAACTATGATTTATAGTGAGAACACCTCCATTTTTGTTTCCTTTTCAGAGGATTTCTAATAATAAGGCGCAGAATCATCAATGACTCCAGAAAATTAGCTGCACTGCCACATATGGTTTGTCATCATTTGATTTAAAATTTCACCTATATACACTCAAAAGAGTGTGGAATCGGCTGTGAGCTATGTGGATCTTTTAATCCTGTGTTCATATTATTTTTGCTTGTACAGTAGCATAATTTTCATGCATCTTTCTTTTTTCTTTTGAATGGAGCAAAAAGAGTAGCACTGAAATGCAAAATGCTAATTCCAGTCAACTGATTAGATCAAAGTTTCATGTTTAAGCATTTTGAGTATCTAAAAAATCTGGCTTCCTTTGCAATTACAACATCACCAATGCTGAACGTGCCGAAGGGGGTTCCAGATGAGACACATGGGGTGGGCTCCATGTAATTAAAATATTGTAAAAAAACACCACCCCACCTCTTGTGTTAGATCCCACCCTAGTTTCCTTGGTTGTGCAAGTGGCATTTTACTGGGGCATGAAATTTGACAGTTGATTGCGAGAAGCGTTTACTTTTTTTAACTTATACTTTCCGAGCCAACCATCTGTCGTGATTCCTTTTAATCTGCTCTTTTTGTGGGGAAGTTTCAAACTTTAGTTGATGTTTGTATGACGCCAAAGGACAAAGAACAATATCAAAAAATCTTAATTAATATTCTATGATATATTCGATTCTGATTAATGGCAAAAGTTTCACCAAAAGCAAGAAGCAAAATGATAAAATTCAAATATTTAACAAATCTTGTATTGTCCCTCTCTAGTATCCATTGCACAAATATTTTTAATTCCACGGGACCTGAAAAATATTAAACGTGCCATAAGTAATATTCTTTAATTTCTTTTACACTTCATACAGAAAAGGTAATATATTTTTAAAATTTCTGAAGAAAATCAATTATTTTTCTTTTTTATTTCTGAAAAACTTGACAATTTTGAACAAGAAAATGCTGTTTTACTTTATTACAAATAATAATAATAATAATAATAATAATAATAATAATAAAATGTGAAATTCTTCGGGAATTCATCATAGTAAGGATGAGCACAAAATTTATGGTTGACAAAAGTGTGGGTGGTGGCATTGCAGTTGATTGGGTAGGGCGTCGTAGTCTGATTTGAGAATTTTATTTTTTATATTTACTATATGCGATTTTTAAATTTATTTTTTACTTTATCTTTCCCAAAAATAATTAACTTTAAACTTACATTAGAGAACGACTTTTTTAAGTTTTAAGCACGTCCAAAACGCTGGAGGAAAAGTATTCCGCTGTGAAAGGGGGGAGAGATTCCTTTGCGGTGAATTTTTTTCTTACCATACACAGCGCCGAAAACGACAGCGCGTGGATGAACTCAAATCAATTAGGAGGAAACAACCGAAGTAGCAAGAGAGAGCATGATGGACCCTTTGTGTGCGAGCCGTAGTAGAAGGCATACAGTCCAGTCCCACTCAAGCCGTTCTCCATCTCTCAGGCGGAGCCTCTCAGGTACCTTCACATACATACACACATATACATGCAGATTACTCATGTTTTGCTCACTTTTGAGGTCACATAAACTGTTTGATGGATTGTCTAAATGAAGTGAGTGGGGAACTTGGGTGGTTAATGTCTTTGCCAGGAGCCTCAAACATAGTTTTGGAATCTGTTTAATGTTATTATGTTTTTTAAGGCAAACTGTGGAGGACATGGCATAGTTGGCTTATGTTGTGCATGTGACTCATGTAGAGTAGAACACAGGTTCTGGATCAAATGGATCGATACCGACGCGGAGTGGAGTGGAGTGGAGTGAGACGAGCAGAGCGCATTGAACAGAACGGAGCGGAGCGTCGGCATCGGCTTTGCGCGGGTTTAATTCACTATCTGGTTGTTAGGGACGTTGAATGGGTTGGGGGTGCGGGGGCAACGCCCCGCGGTACGGTACAGGGGTATTTTCTGTACGGATCTTAAAGTTTTATATGAGCTCAGATTAGGGTTAGTATAAATAATATATTGTAACCCTATTTTTCACAACTGAATAAAGAAATCTCCACTTCGCTCTCGTGGACGTAGGCACATCGCCGAATCACGTAAAATTCTTGTGTTGATTTTCTTTTTTCATCTCTTTAATATTGCGCATAAAATCCAACAGCTTATAATATAGCTCTAAAGCTTTCCCAGCCGGGTTCTTTTCCGTAACAACTAAAAATCTGAACTTTCTTGGTTTTAATATCATGTCTACACAAAATTGTTTTAAATGATTTTGATTTATTTTTTTATTTTAATTTATTTTTTTCATATTGGTTTTGAATTTTAAAGATTGTGTTTCTCATCTTTCTTTCTCCTTTTACTTGTACGGTTGTTTGGAAATGTGGTGTTAGTTATTAATTATTTCAAACGCATTATTATGTCTGAACTTTGTTCAGATGTGCACGAAATGAAAATAATAAATTGATAGACTTGTAACTAAATCAAATTTCAGGAATTACTAGTCCTATTTATAACCATATGATAAAGATTTATGATCATTATAATTCTAATTCTATAACTGTCCTTCTCATGCTTTGCATTGGACTAATTTTCTCCTATAACATATATAAGATTACATTTTGAAGTGTGCTGGTCGGATCTTCGGGATCAGAATTAAACAAGTCCAGTCAAATTTAGGTTGGGTTTCAACGAGTTCTAGTTTCAAAACTCTACTGTGTTGCCATGGACATAGAGAACTTAACATTCAATCTGTAATTGGTGGTCATGATGAAAATCCATAACTGATCCATTTTGAAAAGAAAAATTCCCTTTCAGTTATCTGTTGTGTCATCCCTTCTTAATTCATGTTTATGTAAGTGGGAGTGAAGTCATAATTCACGTTTCCAGAATGCATGTTTTCCCTCCTTTTTTTAGAAGTCCTGGGGATCTAAAAAGTTAAAGCACCCTTTTTGTCAGTTGATATGGATGGATGGTAGGATGGACGGATGGAGGGGGAAAGACTAGGAGATTGCAAAATGCAAATAAGTATATTGCTTGTTATAAATTAAAGGAATAATCCATATTATTGAGGACAATTAATAATGTTAAATAAGAAAAATTAAAACAAGAAAAATACATGATTTAAGGTGATTCACTCTCATTGTGAGAGCTACGTGCATCTGGTACTATTATAGAGAATTACAATGTGTTTTTGGACTCATGCATCTTCGTTTTTTATCTACCATGACACATAGAATAGAGGCTTAATACTAATAAAAAAGAATATATTGAGGTGACCTAATACACATGCCATTTTCCCAAAGTACCTTGTGAGACTTATAAATATTCACTACAAAGATCCCACCCCCACACACTAGGGGGTATACTGCCCCCCAAACCCGCATCAACGTACCATGAAGGTCCAATTGTGCCGAGGGAAAGAGAGCAATATATTAGGCTCTACACGTTAAATATAGCTTAGCACAAAAGGGTCTGTTGTAGTTAACATCAGCTGAAGTGTTGCTTGCTTGATCCATACTTTGGATTACACAAGATCTAGAGAACAATTTATAGTGTTCACCATCAAATCAAAGGTTCTTGATTACAAATTCTACTGAAGTGTGGTAAATTATTCTACCGATTAGGAAATCCTGAGATATCAGGCCCTGGAGTCAATACTAAACTAATCCATAAGTGCTGTTCTTTTGTCAAGCACAACCTGGTTTCAACCCATGTTTTATTTTATTGGCATAACTTTCTAATTTCCCTATGAATCTTGTCAAATATACTCAATAAGACTCGATGCCCCTCGATGTGAGATGTTCTCTCATTATACAGAACCAAATCAAAATTAAATATGGTAAAAACAATCTATCTATATTTGGTACAATTATAATAAGAAGCCCAAAAGGCCCAAAAATTAAAACAAAAAAGGCCCAATTACAACACTTCTCCTTCTTCCCTCAACCTGCAACAGCGACTTTCTCGCTCTGTAACAATGGTGGCAGCGAAGTCCAACAGTTTCCTCCCCCAGCCGTGTCCAATTGAAATTTGTCCTGTCCGTCCTGTATTTTATACCCGTTCCCGTGTCATGTCGTGTCAACACGGGTATGCTGGTCAAAAGAAAGGTCTGAGGATCACATGAATCAATATGGTTTTAGGATGGACTGGAAGGACAATACCATCGGCAGCTGTACTTGAATAGTTTCATGATCACTAAAAGGTGAAAAAAGGACAATACCATCGGCAGCTGTACTTGAATAGTTGCATGATCACTAAAAGGTGAAAAATCCCAAAGCTCAATATCACCAGCACTCTCCCCCTGAATTGAACTATGGTAGCATGTGTATCTTCAAAAAGGTTGACATCCATTATAATGAGAAGCTTCCTAGTTTTAGGACAGAAACACTTAAAAAAACCTTTTTAACATGGTGAGTAGCCCAAGAAAATGCATTTTATTGCTCTAGGATCTAGCTTAGTTTTCGGCAAGGAATGAACATAAACTATGCGTCCAAAGACTTTAACTGGGAGATTTGAAAAAGTCTATTGTGTGGGAAAAACTAGAGAAACGTTTGGAGTGGAGTTTTAAACTGAAGGACACTAGATGGAAGCCGATTTATGAGAGCTTCCCCCCAAAAATTCTTTTGCACATTATTAGTAAACAATAGGCTCTAGCAACTTCTAGGATATGTTTGTTTTTTCGTTCAGCAATACCATTTTGTTGGGAGGTGCCTACCCGTGTTTGATGAACAATCCCATGATTACTAAGGTCTACTCCTAGGATTTGGTTAAAGTATTCTCGGCCATTATATGTAGGATTTGAATTTGAGTTTGGGATTGGGTTTCAGTCATTTGGTGGACGTTCTGAAAAATTTTTGCCGTTTCAGATTTTTCTTTTAAAACGAATGCCCAACAAACTCTAGTATGGTCATCAATGAAAATAATTCTTTTTGCTTTGATTGGTCCCCTAATATCACTGGGAAACATCGAAAATGGTAGAGACTCTGTATGGCCATGTAGGATAAGAACTCTTTTAAATCCCATCCATACCTTAAATTTAGTCCTGATCCCCATATGTCTACTCAATCTTATCATTAGCATGCGACATGCAGCTGGAAGCTCATTTTTCCTTGGTTTTAATAAGAATATGATTATTCCATCCAAGTCAGTAACACGTTTCCATTTAAATTTACTTAAAAGAGTCGTTTGCAGTACTTTCCTTATTTGCGTTTCTATCTAACTTATATAATTCAATTTTTTCCAAGTGTCTAACGTGTAATTTTGAGACGAACTATTCTAATTTTAAATGGAAAAGATTTATTTATTTATTTATTTTGGTCATATATCTTACTGTTTTAATCATAATGCTTTTGTTCTGAACTCATAAACATTCTACTTGTGCCGTTGAGAAGCATCTGCAATCTCTGAAGTTTTGCATTTGTTCCATGCAGCATTCTTGGTGATGGATACCCGTACTTTGAATTGTTAGCAGTGAATACGGATAAATCTCCATTAACAGTGTCCCAAATTAAAGAACGTGTTACGCAGTTTGAAAAAGTTGGCAAGCATAAATTTCTATCCTTTACAACTTGCAAAGGATAAGATAATTTCAGTGCAACTTTTTTGCTTCCAAATATGGTTTTCGGAATGTTTGAAACAAAACTCCGGACTAGCTTTTATTCAATTTAATAATCCTTGCCCCTTATCCTTTTAATGGCTCTATTATAAAACAAAGATAACTCTACTACATATTTATTTTTGATGTTACATGTTGGAAATTGTCTTTATAAACCTTGAGACGTGGTTCTGATTAGTGTAGAATGCCTCAGATATGACTCTTTATGCATGAGGTTGCTCATATCTCTTCTATTACCCAATCACGTTTTAATGTGCAACATTAGATCTTTATCTGCATTATTTAGACTGTGTGCCGTTGAATAAATTATTTTGTGAGCCTTTATTTATTTATTTTTTGTATGTTTGGCTGTGTGCCTCCTATGGGTCATTTACTTTTCGTCCGTGATTTGATAACCTGTTTTGCAATTTTTATTATTGATATTTCCTAAAATAAGAACACAGGTGGTCATTCGTATGCTTGTGAATTTAAGTATGGGATCTTTTATTTTTTAAAATGTAGGATACGGGGACATCGTTAAAAAGAGTCGATACGGATACATGGATGCGTATTTCAAGTTTTAATTTTTTCACTAGCCCATGATATCATTTTGAATAAATCAAATTCAATTGTTCACAAAGAAGGAAATGAGTGCTAAATTAGGGTTCAAAATGAATAAAATAAAATTTTGGAGTTCAGTTTTCAATTATGAGAAGTTAATTACTAAATGTTCTATAAAATAAAAAATGAGAGACCTGATTGTAATTTGAACTTAGTGGAGCACTAGGTAGCACTATATGGAATCCATTTTTATTTTATACAAACAAAACCTTAAACTACCGATACAGAGAGGGAAAAAAGGGGGGGAAAAAAGAGGAAAAGGGAAAGAAAAAATAAGGAAAATTTAGCGCTATTGCCCTTCTCCATCCTCTCGGAGGTGACATTAAATTTAGAGAGAGCAAAAATGGGAAAGGAAAAGAAGAAGGAAAAAAAAAAAAAGAAGTAAAAAGGGAAAAGTGTCCAGTTGAAAATTGGAGGATTTGGCATATGTTCCATACTCATAACTATGTTGTATCGTATCCGATACGAGTACTCCTACTATTTCTAAAAGTCCGAGTATCAAAGGTTTCACAGCCTAAATATGATGGCGGGGACCAAAACAATGTTGAAGATACTCATTGAATGCAAAAATACAGGTTGTACTTTCCTAGTTGGTGGTCAAAATGTTGATGTGGTTTTCAGGGTTTTGCCAAAAACTTTTGAACTTGCTCATTTTGTTTTGATGTTTTCAGTATACAAACTAAAGCAATTCTATTGCATGATCACGGCAGGTTCTTGACGATTTTGATATTCCAAAGGAGCTAAAATATATGTTCATCCCAATACCAGTCGAGAGATTCTGAATGGACATATCGTCTACGGAAATCAGGAAAAGTCGAGGAATGTCGACTTCTATTGACGCAAGGTTGTAGATTTTACTCATCCATATTAAGCAGTCATCATACATTGATAAATGAAAGAAAACAAAACAGTAACTAAATGTCCAGCACTAGAAATGGCATGGTCTAGGGTATACTTTTCATGTCTTGCTAGTTTGTTGTGAAACTCGGTTTGTATACCTATTTTACCAAAAAATGTATCAAATTTATATTAAAATTACATTTAAAGTACGTTATTACCTCTTTCATTGGTCAGGTCAAAGGTTGCGATTTTATATTAGTTAAAGTATAATAATTTTTGGCACGTTATATTGGGCATTGCTTGACAAGATTAAGAAAGAAAATGAAGTTGAAGTCTTGTTTATTTGTCATTTGCGTTACAAACATGTCCTTAATGTAAAGTTGCATTGTTTTGTTTATTCCGTATGTTACAACTTGTAAATTATGTACAGGAACTTGCACGTATGCTGTGTTCTTGAAACGATATTCAGAATCTCTTCCTTTCTTTAACAGGTCCTCTTGGAATCTTGTTCAGAACCTTGGCATCAAATTTCTTGTACAATTTCTCCATATCCTGGTTCCCTATGCTTGCAAGATAATCCACTTCACCTTGATACCGTTCGTACAATGCAGGTAATGTGGCCAGGCAAAGAAAACCTGAAAATCGTTTCAAAAAAAGAGAGATTACGATGACTTGTTTTATAAGATGGATTATATATGACGTCCCAAATATGTTCTGTGTTCTTACCAATGTACAATAGATTCAAGGAGCTGAAGTTATTTCCAATTCCTGAAAATATCCATAGAAACGCGATGGCCTAAACCCGAAAAAGAATATGAGAATTGATGAAAGATGTGCAAGAAAATAATCAAAGGTCAAATGACAAAAATGAATTTTGTACCAGGAAAAAGGTCTTCAAATCTTTCCCAGAAGCAACATCATAGAATCTCAACAAAAACCTGTTGATTTTGGTTAACAACCAACGTAATGAAGACTCTGGAATTGTAAGGCCTCTTAAATCGGGAGGATTCCTAGTGATTAACATAGGAATACAAGATGTTTGTTAAAATGCCACAAAGAAAAACTAGTGATGTATGAAATCACAATAATGTGCTAGAGGCAACGTTTACCTGTCCAATATTATTGCCCCATTAGACCAAGCGAACACAACTAACATCACAGCCATGGTGACATGGCAGAAAAGAGTCACAAAGTTGTACTCCATGACCTCGAACAGAAACCATATTACGGTGAATCCGATTAATATTGCTGTTGATAAATTCTTATTCCTCCATAACAATATGTCAGCAACTACAAAACAAGTTCGATGTAATTTGGATCAAGAAACCATCATGTCATCTTAAAAAACGCGTTCTGATTATTGTCATGTTGATATTCGTTGCAATGACAAGTCACAAATGTAGAACCACAGAAAAGGTTAGAAAATCACCTGTCCCTTCCCCAAGAATTGCATGCAATGACTTTTCATGACCAACCCGTCTCTTTGGATCCGAAGAGTAATTCGACATGTTTAAGGAATATGATTGCCCAATGGTCAATTCCTCAATGGAATATAACCAGTACAGGGGATTGAATTAGTAAGTACGTAAATTAGATTATATAAGCAGTGGAAATATTCATCTTTGCAGCTAAGAAACTTTGTAACACGAGAAAGAAAGGTATTGCTTTGGCATGACAAGAAAGACTATCCCATGAGAAATTGTACATTTAGAAATAATAAATAACAAAAAGCATGCAAAGAAAACCAAGACATTTGATTTCCCAATATATTTAGACGTTTAAAAGAAACTTCTTTTACATCATATATAAGAGTTCTCTATCAAAGAAAAAAAAATTTACTTCTTTAAAAGGAACTCTTATCTTGCTTTTAAAAATAAAAAACTTATATACTTATTAGTAAATTTTCAAGAATAATGCTAGATGTACACTTGAAATTCTCCCTTTGTGGGGGTTGGGGGAATCGCACATTGATAGAAAAAGTGGGGAAAAATCAATGGTGTAAATTATGCCATGTGGAATAGTGTAATCCATGATATAATCCACAATGTATTTGTAGTAGCTTTGAATTTACAAATCCTTTTGTTGATTAGTCCAATTCACTTTTTTTGCTCCAAGTCCGTTTAATTTTTCTCAGGTAATAAAAAAATGTAGGAAATTTTTTGTTCTATATGTATTAGCACAGTTGAAAAAAAATTTGTCCTCCCTTACTCCGGCCCCGATTGAGAGGAATGCATGAATAAACCATTGTAAACCTATCTCATTATTTCTGTCCATGTGATTAATGAAGGATAAGATATTTCAATTACTTTCTAATGAACATTAATTGCATCAAACATCGGATCAAATGAATTAATCAGTTAATTAGCGCACGTTATAATAGTGTTGGAGCCGCGGGAGTTTGTGGGTTTTGTGCCTTAGCAAAACATTGTTCTCTTTTATTAGCATATTTTAAGGGAAAATTACATTACATAACTAAAAGTTTCAAAATACATTTTCAAAAATAACAATTTTGTGAAAGTTTTTCAAAAATCCAATGATCACATGTTGTGACCCTGATAAAATTTTATGACTATAATCACCATCACCTCCACCAGAATCTCCACAGTTAAACCATCGTCACCACCATCACCTTCACCTTCACCTTCACCTTCACCTTCAACACACCTCAAATCCCCCATCACCTCCATAGCCCAATCACCGTCACTACCACCACCATCTTCACCTTCAATATGCCACAAAACCATCACCACTTCCACAGTCAAACCACCTCCACAACCACCTCCTTTACCTTCAACACACCTTAAATCCACCCCTGGACTGATAAACTATTGATGCAAAATCTAAGATGCAGCACAAATGCGGAAAAAAAGTAAAAATTCAAAAGCAAATTTTGGTCCAATTGATGAAAACCCATGGCTACACTAGTGGCGGAGTGGGGGTACCGATGCCATTGGTATATATTTGCAACGATGTGTTCTATTGACGGTAATCAAATTCAAGATTTTTGGTTTACGACTTCGAAAGCCATTTAGTAGATTATGTGGGGCCAATCGAAGGTGGAAGTTGGGTTTGAGAGGTGATTCCGTCGATAGTAGGTGGTGGGAAGTAGTGGTTGGAATTGTAGCCGACGATGTTTGTGTGGGTGAAAATGGGGGTTAGGATTAGGGTTAAGGTTAACGATGATGGTAGTGGGTGTGGTTAGGGATGTCAACTAGTCGAGTCAGCTTGCGAGCTGAAACTCGAGGCTCAAGTCAAATTAAGTCGCCTTTTTGGCTCGAGCCGAGCAAAGCAAAAGTACGGACAAAAAATCAAGGCTCGACCCGCTCGAGCTAGCTTTTTATATATATAACACATAGATAATTTTACGCTAAGCTATTGTGCCCTATTGAGAGGCAGCTACTACCCTTTTTTTAAGAGCCGATTAGACGAGCCATATGGGCTTGGCTTTACGTCCCGAAATGGGGCTCGATCTAAACCTCGGCTCAGGCTTTTTTCTGGCCGAATCACGAATGGATCAAGTTGGTTAGCCAAATTGCCATCCTTAGGTGTGGTATGATGTGGGGTGGCATGACACCTAATTTTTGAAATAAAATTCATTTGACCTTGTTTAATGAAAACTTAAAAAGTGTATTTGTTATTTAAATCAATTAGGACCAGTGCAACAAAGCCTTCGGTAAAAAAAAATTATTGGATTTTTCTAAAATTTAATGAAATGAGCAGTTAAAATATTGGTAAAAATTGTAAATCTTATGAAATGTGTGGTTAAAATTAATGTTTGTCAAGTTGAAATGTTAATAAAATTTAACAAAGTTATATCAAACAAGCACCAAGTTTAAACGCTCTTTAAAGTAGTTTAAACATTTCATGCTTGTCGCTCTATTATGTCGAATTTGATTATTAGTAAATTGAAAGTTCTCCCATATCAATAAAATTTTCGGTATTCTTTATGAAAAAGAAGCTATATATCTATATATTTACATCTCATTGGTAAAATTTATGAATTTTTGGAGCATTACATCTTTCATGCTCTATATTAAAGAAATAGTATCATATTCTCCTTTACTTTAAAAGAGAGGATCCAATATTTACTGTTCAACCTGAGGCAACGGTTTCACACTGAACTGGTTTTGTACTGTAGCTCAACTCGTTATGCACTATTCATCACAAAAAAAAGTTTTCTGGAAACAATAATGAAATATGGTAGCATTATTGCTGTCTTTGTTGACTTTATAAAACCATTTGCTGACGGTTGCTGTATCTTCACTTTAAAAAAATCCTCTCACTTCGTTAGATGCTGTAGCTTCCAAAAATGAAATTAATGAGATTACTTTATTGCCTTCATTGTTGACTTACACAAGTGAGTTACTGTAGTTGTCCCTTTCAAAGAAAATCTTCTCGTGCATCATGAGAGAGTAAGGCAAAAATTATGGCAGCGAATTGTAGGAATTTTTTATGATGCCAGTTACTATTTGTTCAGGAAGCATTTCATTATTGCCCATTTGACCCTTACATGCATACCGATGAGCCATTCACTCCTAATTGAGTACAACATTTTTTTTTGGGTAATTGATTTTGTGTTTTATACAAATCTATTTTTCCTCGTACGAAGTAAAATAGAACTTTGAAAAAAAGTTTGTTTACTTTTTTAGACAATAATTATTGTTTTCAAAATTTACTTATTGGCTAAATATGCACTAATTTTCTGAATTATTGACATACTTTTAATTATGTAATCCTTAATTGATTATAAATTCTAAAAAAATTAAAGAAGAGCCTCCGACAAAACAAGTCCATAACGAAATCAATCACTTAAGGAATGAATTTAGAAAAGAAAAAGAATAAATAAAACAAATCAGCTCAATTTTTTATTACTGTTAAAGGAAGAGGATAACTATAATTGGGGATTTGGAAGGGAAAACAGGAAATTTTGACCTCGAAAATGATGTCCACACAGCAAAGTTAGGTGAACACGATGTGCGCATCGAAAAGAGCTTTTCAAATTGGGGTCATGGGCGCAATTCTGATAGCCGTAGCCAAAGTTATGGGCAAATTACAAAAAAAAAAGTCCCGTAAAAAAACCAAAAAAAAAAAAATTGGATATTCAGAAAGGCAAAATAACTGCACAACATCAGTTACTCAACAATTCAATAGTTATTATGAACTGATAAAAAAATCTTGATATCGTAGAGCCAATTTAAGGCGAGAACGAAATTTTTAGTGAAATTGATCAATCTTCAAGTCAATAGCATACTAAAAGGTAAGGCAGCACATAATTACAATAAAATATCATATTTCAATTTTGTTGATGATTGTCTCTTTTATTGTATTTTTTTCCTTGAACAAATAAAGACTTTGTATTACTGCTGAATATTTAACGTATATATTTATTAATTGTCTCTGTAGTATAAATATTATTTCAAATAAGGTTGATCTACCACACCGTTTCTTTACAATTATCGCAAGATCATTGGGCCATAACGATCGTTTGGTGAGTTCTAAAATGATCTCTTTGTTGGCATTTATTTATTGGGCTGTAATATTCGTTTGGTGAGTTCTAAAACTAAATATAGAGTAAATAATATTCCTTACGAGAGTTATATATTTTTTTTATAGTTGATCACGATAACTTTAGTGCAACGCTTAAGACATGACCTTACTAATGCAGTACGTTTGATTGGTTATCATGGAATTATCTGCAACATACAACTTGAAAGAGTTGTTGATAACATATATCTTGCTGCTGGATAGCCACAATTTTTTAACCACCATAATTTGCAAGATGGTTATGTTATTGTCTTTGAATACAAAGGAAATTCTACTTTTGATGTTTCAATATTTGATCGTTCAGGCGTAGAAGTGATGTATGATTCTGAGGGATTTGAGGTAGAGCTTTCACGTAGTGGTAATCCTATTTTTCGAGTAACATTAGAGGCTGCTCGTGATGGTCATAGAATAATTGTGAGCTCCTCTTTCATTGGAATCTTTTCTACCTTTATCTTTCTCAAACTACACGTATAAAAAATTTCATATTTGTTTTTCTCTTCTAATTCAAAATTCCACGACTTATAGATTTGTCATTCTATTTTGTAGTATGTGCCTGGGGCCTTTGCTCGATTGTATCTACCAAAATTTGTCCAGAATGTTCAAATTCATGATAGTTCACATCATAATTGGTCAGTACAAACGAATCTAAGAACCAATGGTTATGTGAGGCATTTCACCGTTGGTTGGGTAGATTATATGAGGGAGAAATAACTTCAAATAGGTGACACATGTATATTTGAACTTATGGGCGACGAAATCCCAATGTTCGTAGTTTACAAACTGTGTCGCACTGATGGAAGTTTCACTCTTACATAAATTTTACATCTTCATTCGAGCTTTCATGTTTGCTTATTGTGGAACATCTGTTCTGTTCTCTTATGTATGAACACTATATAACTAAATTTATTGCGATTTTAACTTATAATTTGCTTGTGTTCTTCTTACTTCAAGATTGCACCCAATTTGTAAACTCAGTTCATTCTAAATAGGTTGTAACAGAAATATAATTTAATTACTTATAATTAACCTATATGTTGATATCCTACATTTGGATTCATGCAATACTACATCATCGTCATTTGAAGACTGGCATCCTTCTAGCTAAAATTATTCCAAGTAAGTAAAATATTTTATAATTTTTAATTTTATAAACAATATACAAAATTATTTATTCCAACTCTTAGTATCTCCACTTTTTTCTGCAGATACATCTAGG